TTTCAGAAATTTTGCAAGTGGTTTTTCCAAAATGCCTCCTCAAGAAACTGGAGGATGTAGAGAGTTGATTTTTGGCTCACTTTGTACAGAAGAGTGTGCTTTGGTTACCACAAAAAAATTACATTTTACTTTGGGGGAGTTTTTTGGAGATTTTGGTCAATTTTCAAACCTTCACTAGCAATTTTATGCTTCAGAAATTTTGCAAGAGATTTTTCCAAAATGCCTCCTCAAAAAGCCAGAGGATGTTGACAATTGATTTTGGCCCATTTTGTACAGAAGAGGTTGCTTTATCTACTACAAAAAATTGACATTTTCCTTTGGGGCAGTTTTTTGGAGATTTTGATCAATTTTCTAATGTCCACTAGGAATTTTCTGTTTCAGAAATTTTGCAAGTGGTTTTTCCAAAATGCCTCCTCAAGAAACTGGAGGATGTAGAGAGTTGATTTTTGGCTCACTTTGTACAGAAGAGTGTGCTTTAGTTACCACAAAAAAATGACATTTTACTTTGGGGGAGTTTTTTGGAGATTTTGGTCAATTTGCAAACCTCCACTAGGAATTCTCTGCTTCAGAAATTTTGCAAGTGATTTTTCCAAATTGCGTCCTCAAGAAACCAGAGGATGCAGAGAGTTGATTTTTGGCTCATTTTGTACAGAAGAGTTTGCTTTAGTTACTACAAAAAATTTAAATTTTCCTTTGGAGCAGTTTTTTGGAGATTTTGATCAATTTTCTAATGTCCACTAGGAATTTTCTGCTTCAGAAATTTTGCAAGAGATTTTTCCAAATTGCCTCCTCAAAAAACCAGAGGATGTTGAGAATTGATTTTGGCCCGTTTTGTACAGAAGAGGTTGCTTTATTTATTACAAAAATTGACATTTTCCTTTGATGGAGTTTTTTGGAGATTTTGATCAATTTTCTAACTTCCACTAGGAATTTTCTGTTTCAGAAATTTTGCAAGTGGTTTTTCCAAAATGCCTCCTCAAGAAACTGGAGGATGTAGAGAGTTGATTTTTGGCTCAGTTTGTACAGAAGAGTGTGCTTTAGTTACCGCAAAAAAATTATATTTTACTTTGGGGGATTTTTTTGGAGATTTTGGTCAATTTTCTAACTTCCACTAGGAATTTTCTGTTTCAGAAATTTTTCACGTGGTTCTTCCAAAATGCCTCCTCAAGAAACTGGAAGATGCAGAGAGTTGATTTTTGGCTCACTTTGTACAGAAGAGTGTGCTTTAGTTACCACAAAAAAAATATATTTTACTTTGGGGGAGTTTTTTGGAGATTTTGGTCAATTTGCAAACCTGCACAAGGAATTTTCTGCTTCGGAAATTTTGCAAGTGATTTTTCCAAATTGCCTCCTCAAGAAACCAGAGAATGTAGGGAGTTGATTTTTGGCTCATTTTGTACAGAAGAGTTTGCTTTAGTTACTACAAAAAATTGACATTTTCCTTTGGGGAAGTTTTTGGAGATTTTGGTCAAATTTCTAACTTCCACTAGGAATTTTCTGTTTCAGAAATTTTGCAAGTGGCTTTTCCAAAATGCCTCCTCAAGAAGCTGGAGGATGTAGAGAGTTGATTTTTGGCTCAGTTTGTACAGAAGAGTGTGCTTTAGTTACCACAAAAAAAATAATATTTTACTTTGGGGGAGTTTTTTGGAGATTTTGGTCAATTTGCAAACCTCCACAAGGAATTTTCTGCTTCGGAAATTTTGCAAGTAATTTTTCCAAATTGCCTCCTCAAGAAACCAGAGGTTGGTGAAAATTGGTTTTTGACCCATTTTGTACAGAACAGTGTGCTTTATTAACCACCAAAAACTCGACTTTTTTTGGGAAAGTTTTCTGCAGACTTTGACCAATTTCCACACCTTAACATTTTTTTGCCAATTTTTGAAGAACAGGTTGTGCTTTTTTAAAAATGGTGCAGGCTTTTTTTCCGCAAAGCCCCTCAGCTCAACCAGAGCAGCCAGCGAGTCAATTTGTCTTTCAGTTTAAAGGAAGTGGAAAAATTTCGAGTTTTGTGGGCGCTTCCAAAAATCCTCCAGCATTTTCCCCGTCGGTCCAATTTTTTGGCCACTATTAGCCGCAAAAAACGCAAAAAAACACTCTTCTTTATGACAAGAAATCGGCTGACGTAACAGTCGACAGTGAGTGATCAGACCAAGTGGCTACCTGAGGAGTGGGAGGAAGTTGAGCGGCCCGGCCACCCCAATCAGCTTGCAGCCCTCCTCCTGCAGCTCCTGCAGCCAGATCCACGTTGGGTCGTCCCTCTGGTACCTCCGCCCAAACACCAGCTGGTTCACCAGCGAACCCAAGTGGTGGCGCAGCGCCTCCATCGGATCAACTGCGTGGCGCTTCAGCGCCGCGTCGATGTGCTGAAACCCCCGAAACTGAGCGGCTCGCYCGCAGCGCATCGCTGCCGCTCACCTGCACCAGCTCCTGAGCATGCTGCAGGATCAGAAGCTCCATCAGCTTGCGCCGGCCGCCCAGCTTGGTGCCGCCAGCCGATCTGAGCCAGTTGTGGACGAATTTGCGCTGATCCCTCCACAGGGCGCCTTCGGCGCAAATCAAACCTGCGGAATGTTAATAGATCGGGTGACGTAAGCGCGCTGGTTCCCGGTACCATCAACACCAACGGTTCCAAGAATGGCCAGACGTTTGAAATACGTTAAATGGGGCGCCCAGAACAGGTAAACTGAACGAGGACCAGACAACACATGGTTCCAAGAACCATCCGACTGTCGTTTAATCCGCTGATTTATGGCGGCTGGACTGGCCGGGGCAATGATTTCTTCATCAATGAAGATGGACGTTTTCGGTGAAGAGCTCCAGGAGGCACTGTTGCCAGATTTACGGCTCAGCGGGGGTTTCAGGCGCGGCGAGGGCGGGCTGTGGGCGACTGCCCAGAGTCCGCAACTTTGCAAAGCTGGCAAAAATCAGCGCTTGGGGCGATTCGCTTGGCAATTTCGGGGGTTGTGGAGTCGAGTGGCCCCT